TAACAAACAATAATTCCATCCCTGAACCTGCAGTAAAAAACGAGGAATATGAATTACTGGTAAGGCTAGACGATCAATCATCCAACACATCAAACAATAGGCCTATCCACGAACCTACACCAAACGAAAATGAAGAATATGAATTGCTGGATTGCTTAAAAACATTAACAGAACGAGAAAACATTACTTCCTCAGATCCATGGGAAAAATACGCACCCTTTGCAGAACCCACAAGAAATCACATGTACAACTTTTTACAGTTATCCTCACCGACTTGCAACGTTATGGTTATGTAATTGAAGATAATGTATTCTACCACTGCATTACAATTCTAGAAAATACCATTCATAATTATGATACAACTTTTACTTTGATAGAACTTGAAGAAATGGCAATAGCCTCCATGTGCCTTGCCCTCAAGTCTTCCGACAGATATCAAGCACGTCACATCATCCCATATGCTTGTGAATGCATTCAGGGTGGATACTTTAAACCAAAAGCAATTGCCAAAGCAGAGGCTAAAATACTGAAGATTCTCAATTTTAAGCTTAATACAGTAACCTGCTTAGATTTTATACATGTACAATGCGACGTAGGAATCTGTAAAACTGATATTATATGGGATAAAATGAGAATAGATTTAATAAGACGCAAGGCTATGAGAAACTTGGTCGATGACTACCAGCCGTTTAGATCAGTTATGCCCTCAACACTGGCATTTTGGATGTTGCACACCACTTGTGAGCAAATGGAGTTAAACTTTGACTCTGTCTTTCCTGATATTTGTGAATTCTAACACCTAGACCTAAACTTTTGTTATGTAAGGAACAGGAGTTAACAGGTAATAAGTACACCATTAATTAAAATCGAAAGGAAAATAAGGACGGTAAGTAAACGACTAATCAACATATTTGTAATAATCTTTATGCTGGCGTGAAAGCTTTCTATTTAATTTCAATAATGCTACAATACTCTCTTGTAATAATAATTATTATTTTAGCGGCATATTTTTGTTGTATTCAGGTAAAGTATAGTCATTGATAAACACTCCAAAACAGAAGCTCCCTGTGTGACGTGTGTGTGTGTGATGAAACTTGCAGCTAATAATCAGGTGCATTAGCATTTTATACTCTGAGACCGGAACGTACGTAAACTACTTTGACTAAGAGACAACGAAACAGCCAAATATTAGGTTTTTGTGAATTTACCGTAGTAATCGTTTTTCAACTTCCTGAAATTTCGTTAAATTGGATATGAATGATTAGGAATAGTAGGTCTATTCCTAGTTAACAAAAAATAAATAAATAAATAAATAGGCCTAAATAAAAAAATAGTAATAAATGAAAAACGAAAAAAAAAAAGGAATTTTCATAAACATAGATACACTGTGTCTAACATTTGTAGTTCTAACAAATAATATTTTGAAACTTAAAAAGTCCTTTCGGGGACAGTCGAGG